AATTTGCAGAGCGGAAAACTCTAGGGGTTTTTGTTGTTATAGGAACTTTAATCAAAATTAAACATGTCAGACCTATTTTTATTATCGTTAATATTTTACGACACATATTTTTATTATGTATTTTCTATGAAGTTTCTGAGTCGACTTTTTTTTAGAATAATCCAATAACGTCGTTATAAAAGTGCATAGTCTATTTGAATAAAATTTATCTTATCATGTGTTTGTGTATAAATATTTATCTTAGGTCCGATGATATTGTACTTTATCTGAGATTAGAAGAAATTGGATTTTATAAGAATGTAGTGTATTTATTGCGCGCAATATATCTTTAATATTTATATGTACATAAGACAATATGTACAAAAATGTACGTCTATTATATTGTGTAACAAGATGTACCTAATTATCTTACTAATACAATAAAATTGTAACTTATCGATGTCTGTGTATGGGAAGTATTTAAGAAAAAAAAAATATAAAAGTTCTTAAAAAAATCAATAGATGCCAAAACAATAAACTCTTGGAAACTTTGTCTGTCTGTATATTGTTCTGGTATCACGCAAAAATATTGCACCAATTTGGATGTGATTTTTATTATCCAAACCAAAAGCTAGTATAGTACAAATGTACAACCTGTAATAGTACCTACTTATCACTTTATTATTCAATACTATCTCTATAACTTTATTACGCTCGACTCAATGTTCTACTACAGGTGTCTACGATTCATGAACTATGTCATTTTTATATACTCTAGACTACACGGGAATGAGAATTTATGAGGCTCTTGCGCCGTTTTTTGCTTGTCAATTACTTTTTATTTATCTTTCTTGTCTATGGTCGAATTACCATCTTGTTTGTGCATCTCATATCTACAAATTAAAAAAGAATTAACAATTTTATTTATTATTTGTATTTTTACCAAATTGATCATTTTGGCGACCGTGACGATAGCTGTTGTAAGTTTTATAACTTTGTCTTACTCGTGTTTCTAGTGCCAAATAACTGTGCTCGCACGGCTATTTTGAAAGGACATAATAATGAAATAACAATTAGTCCATTACCTTAAGGTTGTCTTGAAAAGATCGCTCTCAGCAATAAGACCGCCTTACTGTACTTATACAATTGTATCGTTGTGTTTGTAAATTGCCTTGCTTATTTCCTATATTGTATAATGCAAATAAAGTATACTCACTCACTCACTCAGGATACCCAAGCATAATATCTTAGTTCTTAGTATTGGGAATATATGAGGGGTAATAAGATTCCAGTATTTTCTATAATATTCATGGGGCTTGTAGTTGATATCTATAGGCAACACTTACCATATTTCCAACAGGAAAGCTGTTAGTTTGTTTGTCATTTGAAAATATATAAGAAATCAGTATAAGACACATAAATATCATCTGATTATGCAGTAATGGCAGCGTGGTACATGATGACGCCATTTCAGCTTGAAGTATACGAGATATTGTATAAGTACATAGCGAATTATACACGTATGATAGTAGTAAATTAGTGCTAATACGTCTAATAAGTGGTAATTACCCGTGGCATTGAATAATAAGATCTTAAACACTAAGAGCTAAGAGAGATAATTAGACTATTATTTTTAAAAACACTAAAGAGTGCTAATGGTATAGATTTGTTTAAACAACAACAGTTTCGATCGTGTAGCCATTTTGGTACCTAAATTTTATATCTACTTTACAGTGAATTTTATTCAATTTCTTGGTCCTTTGAGCCGGATCCGAATTTGCTACTACATCGTACTTAAACACTTGTTGCAGATGTTATTTAGGAACAAACTAGACATCGGTTTGTTGCCCAGTATGATGTATTAAATTTATAGTGACCATTACTAAAATTAATATTGGATTCGTTCATCTATCTATATTATTTTTAGTTAATAGCTCACCAGTTTCGCCTTATGACATTTTTAATTGTCCTACACATACATATATAATTCTACAAACACAGACACAGATACTGATAGAATCGGCACTTCTCCAATAGGTGCCTAAAGGTCTATAACGTTATTTCCATGCAATTATAATGTGGATTAGCCAATTTATAAATAGTACATACCATGTACAGTCAGTTCCGAGTCCCGATTTAGTTCATACAGCCTAAGCGCCTCGTCGAGCTCCAGCTGAGTAGAGATGGTACATGGATCTCCCTCCTCATCCACCCACTTCATAGTAAACACCTGTCATGTCAAATTATTTTCATATAATATAAAAATAATAATAATAAACATTCAGCACAATTATTTTTAGGAATCACTATTAACCCTCTGACCGTGTATTTTTTTTTCACAACAATAAAACACATTGCTTTGACAACAAATAGTAGTATCTAGACATCTAGCGAGATTCTGAGAAATAATATCAATCTATCAAAACAAAAATCGCGGGATAAAGTCAATAAACATAAACAATGCAAGCATGTCTAAATCACGGGATGTGTAAAATTAAACTAATAGATACCGCACGCGGAAATCGCGGTATGCACGGTCAGAAGGTTAAAAAAATAATTATTCTCACAAATTGCTATATTATAAATGAGATTATTTATATACCAGATATTATTTACCAGAGGGAGACTTTGTACAAAAGTCGATTGCTTGGGTACCTCTGTCCCATTCGTGTTTCAACCGTGAAGCAGTTGTGTTTGCATGGCTGTGTTTCGGTTTGAAGGGTGGAATATGGTGTGAATTTACTGAGTACAGAGGAATAACACCTGAGTCCTCAGGAATGGCAACACATAGGGGGTATCATGGGCGAAACAGTATACTCTGTTATGTCCATGGTACTCGTCGAGCTCGAAAGCTATGTCATGTCTCATGTCTATAGGCGACGGTTACCACTTTCCATCAGGTGGGCCGTCAGCTTGTTTGCCATTCTAAGTTGTATAAAAAAAAGAGATTTCATTTCATTAGATATCAAGACATATTAGGATCACTTTAGGATAGTTTTCGTAAATGTAATGTAAATTGGACTCTCTTTTCCGTGCTTAGCCTCTCATTTGGGCTGTTGTACATATGAGTTAGGATACTTTTCAAAACTATTTCTGGTCTAGAAGTTTTGAACTATGCATCCAGATATTTACTATCTAATTTCTAATAACACATAATATCTCAGTATGAGGATCAGACTTAGGACTAATGTCAGCCATTTATCTTAATATATAAAAATCTTGTGTCACAATGTTTATTTATACTGATCTCCGAAAGCACTCAAGCAATGTTTATGAAATTTTATAAATGTGTATTGTTTGCTCAGATTTAAAATTATTTTTATTGTGATAACAAAAAAATGGACTCTAATTAGCAGTAGAAAACAAATCCATGTTTTGTAATTGGATTAATTCATACAAATCCATTTCACCATTCAAATATAATTAAGTAATAAACATCTTCACAAACTTTTACATAATTATAATAATAGTAACTTAATGTTTCACCTGATCTGGTGGAAATCGACACATAGCCACCATCTCCTGGGTGAACTCATCGAGGGTGATGTTATGTTTGATGTATGTTATCATAACACCACCGCTGTATACAGTCTTCACTCGCACATCATTTGCATGGTTATCCTGGTTCACCAGCTGAGTAGGCATCATGGCAGTTATTCAGTATCGAAGGTTTAATAATCCTGTAAATAAAAAACTCACAGGTAAACCACAAATGTATTATATTTGCTTATAACTACCATCATTGGAAATTATGTTTTTTCTTAACACCCTTGAAAAATTTACAAAAAAATGATTACCAATTTCCAAAAGGCTTTTTTCTCTAATTCCACGGCAAGCACTAATCAGAAGAAGAACAAAAAAAAAGACAGTAATTATAAATGGTATCTGTTTTGTTACTTTATATATTCCTGATCACCCAAATATATTCACAACTAGAACAATGTAATGGGCGATTTTAATGCTCAACACCAATCGTTTCACTTCTGATTTAGAACAAAATTTGGCATATTTTTTTGACAATTCAGCATTATAATAACTTATATTAGACAACATAAAGAGTAGTAACAAATTTTACAATCTATTGTGTGTGACTACTACACAGTTATAACTAAGAGTACACTTAAAGAAAATATAAGAACAATGTATGAACATATAAGAAACATTGTTTACATATCTTTGTAAGGTATGAATGATAAATAATTGTCGTTGCCCTTGTACTTTTATGGCTTAACTCACACATAAATATATTACTAAGACAGTAACTACCAGAGATATGCACTTCATATGGTTTCACAAATCTTGGGTTAAGTACTACTTCATAACCTATTTTCAAGTGAGATTATCTGATATAAAGCTTACTAGCGATAAATTAACAATAGCCACAGTCATAATTTGCAGTTCACTTCCTGTTTGGACGTTTATAATAGGCGCTAGCGCACATTATTAAGAGTACCATTCTCGTTTAATGATTCACTCTAATGTTTGAATAAGTTTAAAATACAAACCTTTAAAGATATATCCTCAAAATACAAAACTGTCACGTTGTTTGTAACAAAATGCGATTAGATTGCCATTGATAAAAGTATAAAATAACAAATTGTACTTTATTAATCGTATTAAAGTAATATCAACAAAAGTTTGACAAAACAATAAGCTGATAAACTGACATTTCATAGGAAATAGCGGTGACAGCAACGGGATAAAATGCTAATTCTTGTGCCGTCTTCTTCTATTGCAAGTAATAATTACATAGGAATAAAAGAGATGTATATACCGGCGTCTAGCAGTTTAGCCAATGTAAGAACTCAAAATCAATGACGTATCCAGCTGTTTCCGTTACGAGTAATTTTTTTTGTTAATACTTGTTATAACTAAACGCAGATAATTACAAAATCTTTAATTATTTATTTATTTTCCAATTAAATAATATATAATAATATAGGATAATAATATTATTAGTATTTGTTACAAAAACATTACTGTTATGGAATAAAATTATGAGTGCCCTAAATCTGGTGCAAAAACATCTGTAAAACGCAAACTTGTTTGTCAAAATTGTCAATTCTCTTAAGAGCTATAAATTTACTGTTTTCTCTAATATTTTATTCACTCTTCACAATATAAATTATATTTTCATCACAATTTTAATTTTATTTTGTGTTAAACAAAGTATCTATCATGGTAAGGAATATTTTAACCCGACGACAATAAAACAAACTATTATCAAATGTTGTGATGACTAATAAGTAGGTCTTTCGTATATTTTAGTGTTTGCTTCTTATATTTCAGACTGAACAGCAAATGGATTGTGCTCTTGACTTGATGCGAAGACTACCGCCACAGCAGATTGAGAAGAACTTGACAGATCTAATAGATTTAGTACCAAGTCTGTGTGAAGACCTTCTGTCGTCAGTGGACCAGCCTTTAAAAATAGCGCAGGACCGTAATACGGGAAAAGATTACCTTTTATGTGACTACAATCGTGATGGTGACTCGTATAGGTCACCATGGTCAAATACTTACGACCCACCTCTTGAGGATGGGTCAATGCCTTCAGAGAAGCTGAGGAAATTAGAGGTAGAAGCAAATTACGCGTTTGATCAATATAGAGAAATGTACTTTGAAGGTGGAGTAAGCTCTGTATATTTGTGGGACATGGATCATGGATTTGCAGGTTTGACTATATGTTTCTTATTAACCTGTTTTTCACTGTAAAAATTGTAGCAATGTATAGTTAGTTTTATCAGAAGATCTTATCTGATTTGTTTGATTAACTTAAACATGCATTTTTATATATGAAGTGATATAATGAGTAATATTTGAGCTTTTAAGGATAATTGTGTCATAATTACACACTTACCTCTTTGTTTGTTTAGGTAATGCCAATATATAAATAAATAAATATTTTTTTCTTGCATATACTAACAGTACCACTACAACTAACTTGTTAACTTACATTGTCTTTGCTAATAATGTTCAAGGCATACAATAATAAATATAATGACAATAAATCAAACCAAATTTGGCTCTGAATAAATTAGATAACCAAGACTTTGGCATACAGATTCTGATTACTGTTGTTTATGTTTGAGATTTGAAATTAAAACATAAGTAATGTGATATGTGTGAACAGGTGATAACTCCTGGAAGGAATTGATATTGCAAATTTTAAAACTTCATAATTATTGTAACTGAGGTAAAGTAAATACAATTCCATTATTTTTCAGGTGTAATATTGATAAAAAAAGCTGGTGATGGCTCCCAGAAGATCAAAGGTTGCTGGGATTCTATTCATGTAGTAGAAGTTGTTGAAAAAAGCTCAGGACGCAATGCTCATTACAAATTGACATCGACAGCAATGCTGTGGTTACAGACTAATAAAGAAGGCAGTGGAACTATGAACTTGGGGGGCAGTCTCACTAGACAGGTAGATTATATTTAATTTTTATTTTATCTTTATTTGGTCTCCTAGCAATTGTTACACTGTTAAGATTTAATATTAAAATTACTGTCTATTTATACTTAGTGTACAATCATTTTAAAGGAAACACAGCATGCTAATTAACAAAAATAATAATATGGTATAACAATCTATTGTAATAAACTGTCCTATTTCAGAGAGTCAATTTATGCCAGTCAACAGTGGACTAAGTTAACGGCAGAAATGTTAATGATAAAACTATCCCATGACTTCATCTTTGTCTTTTCACATTCTAAATAAGTTTTTGTGTATAGGGATAGATGGATAAGTGGTGTTTTTTTTTGCAACTATTTTTTTTTGCTGCATTGTAATACTATATTAATTTAAACAATCACCTTTATCATCTCAGTCACCACCTGCCCTCTTCTAAACATAGGCCTTCCCCATAGGCTACCACAAGGCAATATATTTGAGGTTGCCACTCCATCTAGTGGGAGGTCATCCTACACTGTCATAAGTAATATTAGAGTAAAATTGTGAGATAATTGCATTTAAATTCTGTATATATGTTACACTATTATGTGTTATTTGTAAATTTTAAAATACTAACATTTCTATTTAATTCAAGTCAAAAGTTATTATTCGAAAATTATAGTAACTTTAACTTTACCACTTATAATATGTCTAATTGATTTTGATAAGTGACAAAAGGTAATAAAGATCATTTTTAAACAATATGTTCTTAATATTGGTAAAGATAATTGTTTATTTCAACAACTATTGTGAATTTTATTTTTTATTGTTATTTTCCTGTTATGTTATGAATGAATGAGTATACTTTATTTGCATTATACAATATAGGAAATAAGCAAGGCAATTTACAAACACAATGGTACAATTGTATAAGTACAGTAAGGTGGTCTTATTGCTGAGAGCAATCTTTTCAAGACAACCTTAAGGTTGTTATGTATATAGAGGACTATTGGCTTTCCTACCATTATATATCTTGTCTTGAAAATATTTTGAAAAATACTATTAACAAATCAAATTAATTTCAGTAATGCAGTGTTTGGGGTGGCAAGCTCACCTCCTGCTTTATTGACAAATTATATCCAGGGAATGTTGGCTTCTAAAAATAAAGAAAGTGCCAACCAAGCCACATTAGAAGTTTATTTGTAAAATAAATCCTTCTTTATGTCCAGGCTGAGCAAGACTCCTCTGTGAGTGATGTCACACCACACATCATCAACATTGGACGCATGGTTGAGGATATGGAAAACAAGATCAGGAATACTCTCAATGACATTTATTTTGGTAAGCAATTCCATTTTAAATTATATTATTGTTGAAAAGATCTTAGAAGAAATCTATGAGAGAAGAGTAATGTAAAGTAAGAGTTGTGTACCTTGTTGACCTTGATGATTTTACATACTCGAGCCTCTCGATAAATATGAGTTCAATTCCTCCTCTATAAAAACATTAAGTATTTATCTTAGTATAGTGTTGGCTTTGTTTATGTATTATTATGCATATTTTTAACTTTTTAAATAAGAAAAAGAATTGAAAATTATGAAATTATTTTTTAAAATAACTCTGAAGTTGCCACGTTTCAGTAAAAAAATGTGTAATAAATAATTTCAGTATTAAAAGTTTATAAATTTCATATACATTATAATTTACTAGCTTTTACTATAGGATAGAAGGATATATGCTTTAAAAACGTATATCCTCCTCCATCCCATATACTTAGCATATACCAAATTTAATAGTGATTGGTTATGGTGCTATAAGGTAACATACAAACAAACTCATTTTCACATTGATAATACTAGTAAGGAACTGTAACTGTAATTAATAGCATTCTTAACTATTTATACCCGCCAATTAAGTTAGTGTTACAGTTAAAACATAAAGAATTTTTTATTATACAAGCTGAAATAAAAAATTTTAGGACTGTTCTACCAGTGTGAAACTTAACATTTTCACTAAAGGAACATAGTCTAACGAACGACAAATGGTTATTCAATTTTGCATTTTTATGTAATTTCTATCTTTGTATATGTATTATATAGCATGGGTAAAATCTTAATGAATGTGAAGGAAGTGGACACAGTCTATTTGAATTGAAGCATTTGGCGTTTTATTGTTTCTGCCTACTGCAATGCTCTCTACTCTCCATGCCTAATGACTTTTTTTTAACCTATATATTTCTGGTTATTTGAATAGAATTATTTTTTTTAATTTCGCTACCAATAGTAGGTGTGTGACTGCCAACACTTGAAGATTGACCACCACTATTACTACCAAAAGTTCCACAACCTTCCATATTAGCTATCGATCTCCGACTGCAATTTTGTTCACACACATTTTGAGACAGGTGATTCACCTCTAAACAAGGCATCTTCAGGCAAATTATTAAATAAAATAATTCTAATCAAATAATCAGTTGCATGGATTTCGGCAAAATAGCACCTAGTTAAGTAAAATATTAAAATATATTCATTTCAATATTTATATATTTATTAATATTTCCATCTTTCCAGGAAAAACGAAAGACATTGTTAACGGTTTACGTTCCGTGGTGCCGGCGGATGTCGCCCGGCGTACTGCAGCGCTGCAGCACGATCTGGCTGTAGCGCTGCAGCGCCGCCATGTCGCGCGCGCAGACTGAGCACCCACTCGCAACCTATTAGTATTCGTATGTAACTTTATTTTATATTACTAGTTTTGCCTCGCAGTTTTGTCATCGTCTGAACCTTAGCTTACCATTCAATTTTTTTTTGTGCCCTAATGGCGAAAGGCGCTAAGGCCATTACTAATGAATTAGAATAAAATTTTCTAGAGAAAGATTTTGTATAACAGTATTCTGCATAGATACTTCTCATCTCTCTCTTTTTGCTGTGAAGCAGCTATGCAAATAAACTCGCTCATTTGTAATATTAGTTATAGATATATATTTATTTTATTCCAGATGAGGTGGAGATGTTGGGTTTATTAGAAAAACGTCAAAAAGGAGTTTAATAACAACGATGCCTGCAGAAAATTTATTAACAAATAGTAGCATGAGCTGTGTGACTAACTACGCCACCAATTAATGATTTTTTTAATGATCACGGTCGATAGTCTAATAAAAAAAAATATCAAAAGTTTTCTTAGAGGAGTGTGTAGATGGAGAGAATTTTTCTAGCTGATTTCCAACAGAATGAGTTTTCCAATACGTCTCATGTTTTGTGGATATATTACACAGTTGGGTCGCCATTTTCGAACCGACTTTTTGAATTATTGCAATCGGTAGGGCTTAATTTCTCGTAATTTTGCGTTCTAAATTCAAATATACTATTTTTAATGTGTCTACTGAACATCTAGTCGAACATTAATAATTAATGTATGTGTGTGTGTATTTATCTTTTTAGAGAATAAAATGTTAATTATTATCTGTAAACAACAATGTATAAAGTATATAATTGTACATAAAAGTCCATGTCTTATCTTTGGTTCACGCGAATAGTGTTTTTTCTTCAATTCTAGCTAATAACTATCGACTGTGCAGATCTCCTAATGTTTGAAACATGAAAACTTTTGTATGTTTTTTATACAGACATTAGACAAGTGAAGATGTATTTGAGATTGTATTGAAAATTCTATTCCTTAGATTTAGTGATCAATGCAACCTCTGTGGTGCTTTGAAGAATAACAGTATATTTCTATATTTTAGTCTTGTAATGAAAACGATTCCCGAATTCTGTGAACGTGTGTAGAGTTATTAAAATATTGTAAAATAATCACGTTGTAAAAACAATTCACCCAAGTCATCCATCTTATTATTTACGAATTGCATTTTTATTGCTTATTTTTTATATTGTAAATTAAAGATGCGTATTTTTTAAATTAAGGAATTATGTAAGATTAATTATTATTGAAGCAACAGCCCAATATAAGTCGTTGCTTGTATTTCACAATCGACAGTTTTTATTAACTGGCCTCTCTAAATAAATATTTATCTGAGTAACTATCGTTTCTTTTTTTATTTCTAAATACAAAAATCCAGAGTAGTTAATTTTAATTTTACACATTTTTAAGTATACGTGGTATAAGGCAATAAATGCGCCGATTGTTCGCATTTATAATAGAATAAATAATACTTAAAATTACTTTCCCCATTTTAGTTCTTTAATTTAGTTTAAGTCAACATGATAATATGTAAAGGATATTCAACAGATTATGTTAATAACTTGAATAAGTGTATTAAATAGACAAGCGAGATTAATGCTTTTTAAAAAATATAAGTATTTTGAATTTTACTAACTATGAATACAAGTAGGCAAAACCAATCAGCACGTTTTCCAGAGTATTCACTGTTTTTATTCAGCTCGTAAGTATATCTAGATAAAAGATGTAGTTCTCGTTTTTTAAATATACAGGTGCAAGGGACAGATTGGCAAAAACTGAAACAGTGAATTCAGACCATTATTTTAAACTGAAAACCAATGGAAATTCTATAAAAATACTATAAAACACCCAAAAAAAAAAAATAATGTAACACTTATTAAAATCCTATCGCAACGCGCGGAATCAGCCGTATAAAGTAAACGTCACAAGACAAAACTATCTACGAAGAAGCTCTATTAATCACGCGTTGTAAGTATCAAGTGTCGTGCGGATCATATAATTTCAAATATATTGCACTACAGCTATATAATTAAGAATCGTTACTTATATGGCTGTAGTGTATTGCCGGTGGTAAAACTAGCTGCCAACTTATTCAAATTATTCATCTGAATTAGTTGTTTTCGTTTTCGTCAACCTGTCCCTTCCAACCTGTATAATAATAGATACTATCAGAAATACACAAGTACGTGAAAGCATTTTTTTATTAAATCACGACATGTCTGATCAAAGCATTATGAGCGAACACAGAAACTATATGGTCCATGAATACTATTAACCGAAAAAAGAATTATTTACTCTATATGGTTGACCACAGATAATATAATACAATACTAGACCGCACACTGCCGGCACATTAATTGTTTTTTATGTTATGTTTGAAGGATCCGAGGTATTATAGGTGAAGGAAAGATGGCACAGGAAAGGTCATTCTACATTTTTACGGTACGGTTCACGTAAAAGTTGGCAAACTTACTTTTAATGAGTAATAATGAAACAGTAACCCTTCTGTGCTATCTGTACGCTAGCAGGATGTGAGTGGATGACAGGTGAGGATAAAAACAGGTCAGTTTGTCCGTCGTATCGAATTCCACAAGAATTAATAACAATACTTTTCAGGGGGAACTGCATGAAAGTCGACCTGATTGTTAGCAATGGGGCTGGTAGACCCCATTACTAACAATTCCTTTTTCTATATATTCCATATAGCGGACTATCGTGTACAGATGTAGTTGTTGGTCCATTCTCGTTATGCGACACCGGAAACGGGAAGGTGGAATAAGGGAATGAAGTTTTTCTGGGCACTTTTAATGAAATAGACGGTAAAAGACAAGCACCCACAACACTGGAAGAAGGGGGGGAAAGGGATTGTTAGTAATGGGAAAACCATCGTGGTTAATTCTTATTGAATTTGTCACGATGCTAAAAGAGCTGCTTTCATCCTCACCTATCATCTATCACTGGTATCCAGTCAACGTATACCGATAGCGCAGGCGAGGTTACTATTCCATTATCATCTATAAAAAAAAAAATATAAAATAACAAACTCATTAGTTATCGTTTACTTTTTACATATTAATTTTGATTACAACCTATACTGAACATTAAACAAAATGTAAACAGATTATATTTGACATATTTACAGCTGCTAGGACTGTCAAATGTCAATGTCCAATTTCTCAAATGAACACAGTGATTAAACAAATGATCTACTATATTGTGGCTCGCCATGGCCCACAAAGAAATATGCATTCCTTGTTTTTAATATACACTCATTGGTGTTGCATCGTATTTTTATTTGAAATGAAATTTATTAAACTATAGTTTTCTATTGTAATAAAAAATGTCCATTAATTACTTTATTTTACATTTATATTATAAAGTCGTCTATGGTTTAAAAATATTTTTGCAACAATGAGTGCAGATATTGTAATAATTAATGATGATCCAGGCAGCGTTGAGGTATCTATTTAGATTTTTTTGGAAAATTTTTTAATCTTTTATTTTTTTTTAATGGGATGAAAATGAAATGAGTATGTAACCAGAGGGATACTGTGTACAAAAGTCGTTTACTTGAATACCTCTGTCCCATTCGTGTTTTTACTGCGAAGCAGTTGTTTACATGTTTCGGTTTGAGGGGTGGGATACGGTAGTGAATTTACAGGGTACAGAGGAATAACAGCGGCGGAGTTCTCAGGAATGGCTGGCAACACATGGGTGGTATCATGGGCGGAACAGTATACTCTGTTATGTCCATGATATTGCTCATGTCTATAGGCGACAGTTACCACTTTTTATCAGGTAGGCCATCAGCTTGTTTGCCATTTGGTAGGGATAAAGTGAAGAATTTTTTTAATGAATGATAAAGGAATGATAATCTCATCTTGAGAGACACCCGTGAGGGATGAAAGGTGAGTGTGAAAAGCCAGGCAAGTTAGGCCATTGTGATGAATATGCCTGAAATTTAGCACAATGGTTTCCAAGGGGCACCATGTGGAGGTCGACTTGACTCATGTATTGATAGCAATGTGACTGTTAGTCCTTATTACCAACAGTCGTTTTCCTCCTAAGGGAAGACAGTCCATTGTGACAAATTTATCAAGATTAACCATTAGGGTTTTTAGGGAAGATTATCTAGAGGTTTATCTTATTGCTAGCTATTGGGGGGAAAGGGATTGTTAGTAATAGAGACTAAAAATCCCATTGCTAGCAATATACCCAACCAGGTCGACCTCCTTGTTGTTTCCCCTGGAAACTATCATGGTTAATTCCTCATGAATTCATCATGATGGGCTAACTGGCCTGCTTTCATTCTCATCGATCACCTTTTACTGGTGTTCCGTTAGCCTATCCCATTAGCGCAGGCGGAGTTACCATACCATTTTCACCCATCAAAAAAAAAATTGCTAGCTATTGATACTAGTCCCCATTATTAATAATTCCTACTTCTTACTAAAATATAATATAATAATAATGAAATACAAGCATGTTGCACCACAGGCTGGTATGCAAAATATTTTAAATTAATAATAGAGATATAAAAAGAAAAATAAATACACATTGCAGTAACAGCTAGGTACTTATTATTATAATGTTAATAATTTACAGAAATTTATCAGTCTGCTATTTCTTATCTCTAATTATGTTCTTTTCCCTTAGAGGAGTTTCTTTGAAAGCTAAAGCTTTACATATGCTAAGAACTGATTATTAACTGCTTCATAATAGCGAAAGCATATGTAATTGTAACCTTCAAGAAAGGAACCTATTTCATTTTAAAAAGCTAGCTGCAAACCTTTTTTTCTTCCAGTGTTTTTTAATGGGTGATAATGGTATGGTAACCCCATCTGCCCTATCGGTATACAATGGTGGGGCACCAGTGATAGATGATTAATGGGTCAGTTAGTCCATCGTGATGAATTAATTTGATGGTTGGTTTTCAGGGGAACCATGTGAAGGTCGACCTGATATGGTATATTGCTAGTAATGGGGCTATTTGATCTCCATTACTAACAATCCCTTTCCCCTCTTCTTCCAGTGTTGTGAGTGCTTGTAGCCAGTGGTAGTTAATTACTATCAGCCAAACTGCAAGCTCGTTTGCCCCCTATATTATGGAAGAAATAGGTGTAGCTTATGTATAAAACTTTACAAAACTGTTTATTGTGCAAATGAATATTATTTTAATTTTTTTTCTCAATATTGAATGTGTAATTTATGCTATCTAAGAGTGTATTGCTCTCTAGTAACAAATAAACTTTAATTAATAGTTAGCTCTATGTAGTCAAATTATCAAATTTTTATTATTTTCTTACAAAAAAAAAAAATTACTACTATTAACTGCCATGTATGTTTTTATTTACAGGTTGTTGAAACTACCTCAGTATCTGACGTAAGAGATAAAGTGGTTGAAACAATAATAATAGATGAAGACAAGGTAACAGATGATGTTATTTATGTATCGGAAAATAAACAAAATGTTAGAGGATTTGTGGATGATGATATTGAAATCATAGATGTTGAAACAGAAAAATGTGATACTAATGAAATTCTTACTACATTTGATAGTATATTTTATGAAAATAAAAAACTGGCAGAGTTCATTGAAAAATGTCTGGATTTAGAGGATACACATGGTATGCTAAGGGTAATAAATAAAATACTGTTAAGAAGATATAAGGAAACAGATGAGAAATACAAAAAATCACCCGAATTTAATAGGTTGTTGGATAGAAAGATAGATCTATTAGAAACAGATCCTGATCATAAATTCTCTCATGTTAAGGATTTGTGTGAAATTATGAAATGTCACAAAACTAGAAAAAAAGTAGAGTTAATTACATTATCAAATGATTTAGAAGGTAATTTAATGATATTATATACTTAAAGTAACAAATTTGGCAAAAACAAGAAACGGTCTCCTTACAGTTTTATTATAAATATGGATTAATAATCTGTAATGAGGCCGTTTCTTTGAAACATAATTGTTATAAATACTAGTTCAAAAATAAATAATTTTAAGGAAGCAGTTAATTTTTATAAACATTTGAACAACAGATTAATAATCCAACATTATATTTTTAGATAATTTAGATTCAAGCAAGAAAAAGAAACGAATAAAACATAAGAATTCTCAAAACAAGTCAAAAAAACGAAAACTTGACAACATTGACAAAAGTAACTATATTGAAATAGAGGTTCCAGCCATGAACTTAAATATAAATCAAATTGATGTTGATTTGATGGATGAAGAAGTTGATGATGGTAGAGTAATAGATAATGGAGACATTATCAGAAAAAATAATAATTTTAACAACAATATAAGTGAAATACAATCTAGTTATGTTAATGGTACATCTGTTTACTCAAAAGAGGTTACTTTGAATACCAATGTTAAGAATAATGATGTAGTGCCAAATGATGCTCAGAATTTAACATATGCAACAAGAGATATTAGTAAAGAAACTTGTGATTTAGCTTTATATGGTACTCATATTGATAACAATAGTTTATTAGTAGCCCATAAAGATGTGCAATGTGATGTAGAGCCAATAGATCAAAATATGAAACGAATAAAAGAAATTGAGGAGAGAATAAAAGTTTTAAAAAATGATATTGAAAAATTAGAACAATTGGAAGTAGAAGATAATACTATATTCTCACCTTATATACAGTGTGATCAGTAAGTATATCTAGATATAGTTGTTATATAGAAAATAACAATTGTTTAATTGGTTGAGTCACAGATAATTTTTATTGTTACAATACCAATATACAGTAGGTAAGCAATTTTTTTTTATACAACTTAGAATGGCAAACAAGCTGACGGCCCACCTGATGGAAAGTGGTAACCGTCGCCTATAGACATGAGTAGTACCATGGACATAACATAGTATACTGTTTCACCCATGATACCCCCCTTGCGTTGCCATTCCTGAGGACTCGGGTGTTATTCCTCCGTACCCAGTAAATTAACGACATATCCCACCCTTCAAACTGAAACACAGCCATGCAAATACAACTGCTTTACGGTTGAAACACGAATGGGACAGAGGTACCCAAGCAATCGAATAATGGAATAAAGACTTTAGATAGATAATGGCTAAGATGATGATGATAAACATCTTAGCCATTATAACAACTATGGTTTGTTTCAATAAAACATTTATAAATGAAAATTTAAACAGAAGATATTAGGGTCAATTCTGTGGCGCCATTTCTCTGTACCTTTATCTATATAATTTAATAATTTTATTTGATCATCGTCATATCAGCCATTAACTTTCTACTAGTGAACATAGACCTCCTTCATAGGGGGGGGGGTTTGCCAATAATTGCCATTCACAGAAATAAAAAGGGTAGCACATTCTATGCCGGGATCACACTGAAATTTTAATCTGATGCATAATATCATCATCATCATTTCAGCCATTAGCCATTCAGGGGGAACCACGAGGAGGTCTACCTGGTTGGGTATATTGCTAGCAATAGGATTCTCAGTCTCCATTACTAACAGTCCCTTTCCCCCCTCATAGAGGGGGTTTTGCCCATAATTGCCACCCACAGGGATGAAATGGGTAGCACATTCTATTCCGGGACCACACTGAAATTTTAATCTGATGCATAATATCATCATCATCATTTCAGCCATTAGCTGTCCACTGTTGGACATAAGCCTCCCCCATAGACTGCCATAAAGAACGGTGCTAAGCCACCTGCACCCACTGACACCCTGCAGTGCATTTCAGGTCGTCACTCCATCTGTTAGGGGGTTACAATATCATAGTTCTCAGGAATGGTAATGCATGAGGAGTTCCATGGCCAACACAGTGTTCGGTGATGCCCATGGTATTGTACATGTTTATATGGTTACCACTTTCCATCAGGTGGGACATGTTATGTGCTATTTAAAAAAAAACACTTCCTTTACCAGGTTGAAAGCTATGATAGTCAAATTGTACAGCGAGTTGTGTTCATTGACGGGGGATGAAGCTGTGAAACGACGCGAAATACGACTCCAAGTAGTTACCGACCGACCCCAGTTAGCCGTGAAGAATTTAGAAAAGCTCATAAATGATAATATCGGGTGCGATGGAAACCCACACTTTCCGGACTTTCACGATGTTGTCCATTGCGTGTATGAAGCCAACAAGAAAGAAAATTGGGGGTGGGGTGAAAAACAGATTCTAAATGAAGGTTTGTGGATTAGTTTTATCTGCTCTCCCTTTCAAGATTTCACTTTTGCAGTAAGATAAAATTTGGAATATTTTTAAATATAATAAAAGTTAGTTTTTTGCCTCGCAGTCCGTTAGGCTTGTAGATTATGGCACGAAAGAATGGGCAATAAACAATAAACAATTTATTTATAAATAGGCAGATAAATTATTGGAATATTTTATCCTTTACTGGAACTCTGCCCATTATCTGTATACATTATAGACAACGAAGTAATTTAATATTAGGTAAATGAGTTATTTATGAATTCGATGCAACTTAAACCTTACATTTACTTGTGTAAAGCAGAGTTTCGTTCATGTTATATAAAGAATTTTAAATTAATTCAAAATAAGAACAACTCGGCCAGGGATGTGCAGCAGCGTCCCACTTAAAATATCTCCAAAGATTAACTGCGATTGCCAATCCGTCCGCCAAACGTGGCAACTACTGGCATAACTCCAAGGTTGAGGCTTATGTTCAGCAGTAGACAGTTAAGGGCTGATATGATGGTGTGAACAACTCTGCAAGCGATATTTTCTAATTTTTAACTAATTTTGGAAGAAAAAGTTTCTCAATTCAGTTGTATTTTTTGTTTGTTTGCCGGGTCAGACATTTTTTATAGCACAATGGTCACCATCTACTACAGTAGGCTATAGTAATCATTTACCATCATAAACGGTCACTAGTCTATGGACACCTGCAACACAAGGGGTATCACATGCGTGTTGCTGAACTTGAAGACATTTTAATACATTCTTTTTGTAGAGCCAAGTTAATATTTTCTTTTTCGTTTTCTCTTTTTCAGCAAGGATATTATTCACACGTTGCGGTCTTGCGATACAGCAGAATCGGCAAAAGAGAGAGTGGCGTGACATGACGAGTCGGGTAAAATGCAAGCTCGAAGACGACCCGGCCGATGAGGATCCACAGCTTTTGGCACGTTTGGAGGAGAATAGGCGACAAGCTTTAAAGAAAGAGTCAGATATCTTGGATAGGTAATTATAATAATAAATACCGTTGGGCACGGTGCATATGGCACCGTGTCATAAGCTCGAATCCGCAACCACAGACATGTTGTAGGGTAACTGTGAAGTACAATACACACCTAATACACTTACTACTTAGTATAATACAATACCTACCAGAGAGAGACTTTGTACAAAGGTTGTTTGCTTGGACACTATTCATGTTTCTACCGTGAAGCAGTTGTTTGCATGGCTGTGTTTTAGTTTGAAGAGTGGGATATAGCAGTGAATTTACAGGGTATAGAGGAATAACACCTGACTCTTCAGGAATGGTAAAACTATACTCTGGTATGTCCATGATACTGCTCATGTCTATACCCGACGGTTACTACTTTTATATATATTTAGTATATAAATGTGATACTTGTGTTTGTTTATTAAAAATAATACTTGAAATGTTTCAGATTTGTTAAGTTAGAAAAATGCTCAGGTATATTACTACCGACGTTCACTCGAGAGGCGGCAGACGATAGCGACAGCGATAACTCCGATGTTGTATGTACAAATGATGTTGAAGAAAGATCTGAATTACTTGATAGCATCCACCAACATAATACAATAGTAGAAGAAAATTTTGAAAACGAATCTACCCATATAGAAAACAATAAAGAAAACGTATCATATCCAAACAACACGCCTGTTGATACATCACTAAGCATCAGTGAAATAAACAATTCAATAAAATCAAATGAATCTTTGAATCCAAAAACATTTGTGGAAAACAATTTAAGTCAAATAAATACGAGATCTGAAAACACAGAATCAATAAAGAATAAAAATGAAATTGAACATAATGCATGTGATATTCTAGCAGGAGTAGATAATAAATTATACAATTTTACTGAAACTTTTAATGAAATTGATGTAAATAATAGAAATAGTTCTGAATTTATTGCAAATATGGATGTTAAATCTCTAGAAAACCCTCAAAAGACATCGACGGAGATTAGTTATACAACTACTAGTGAAATAACTTCCACAGACAAGCATAAAAATGATTACGAGTCAGCATATCATGAGAATTGTGATAGCCTATCTAGAAGTGTTAAGAAAGAAGTTGCAAGTGATGCAACTGAAGACATAATGAAGGCGTTAGAAAGTTTAGGTAACTCCTTCACAACCACTATAGTGGATATAGAAGATCCATTTTTAATTATAGAAATTTCATCGGATAGTTCTGATGATGACGATTTGAGTGAACATTGGTGATCTTGGAGTGATTATCTTTTAGATATGTATATATATATATATATATGTTGCATAGACGTTTTATACTTGGAACATATTGCTCCTTTAGTTGAGGCCTTTATTTTAGTTGTTTTAAATTTATTAAAGACTGTTAAATTTACTTATTTTGTATTAATTAGCATGAAAGTCCAAAATTTAATATAGTAATTAAATGGTGTCTGTAAATAGATGTGTAAGAAAAATAATACAAGGGACAATAATAAGTAGTATAATAATAGTAGCCAAAACGATCATTTTTAGAATTTTTGTCTGTTTGTTTGTCCCCGTATTACGCAAAATCTACTACACCAAATTAAATGCGATTTGGGCAAAAGCTAACCAACTATAATGTATGGCTAATAAGAAATTAACAAGAGTATTTGGGTTTCTAATGCTGCATGCTTGAAAAAAACGCTGTTGTCTCATTCTATATCCGAGAGAATTTATCGATAGATAGGGTTTCGTTACCGTACTTATGAGAACATGTCGACAGATTATGGCGTCTCATTCTGTTGTAGTTTGATGTTAATTATTTTTACAGAATCTTTTTACAAGTGGTTTAAGTGGTCCTTGGACAATAATACCTATTATTATTGCTGTATGGTCCCTGCATAGAAAGTGTGTTGCGAGTTTTAATGCTGGTTTTGTTGACACCGGTGTTTTTTGGAATATGTATAGTTTTTAAATCTGTTCTGTGTGTCTTATAAATCGTCTTGTGGGGTTTTTACCATATTAAATACTAATGATCTGACTCTGCTTCGCACGAGTAGACAGAATTTTCGAAAATCAGTACATATAAAAAGTTTCAGAAAATTCCACTGATCGAATATTTTATAGTATTTTATGTGATTCTTCAGATTCATATAACTTTTTTTATGAACAGATTGAAACAAATTTTAAGTGGATCAAAACGCATTCAAATCGGTTAAGCCGTTTCTGAGATTAACGTGCACAAATGTACAAATAAAATTCTAAAAATCATTCTTTTGGGTTCTATTGTGTTTATAAGAATTCATGACTACCTTTAAAAATGGCTTTGTACTAGAATTGTCTTTTATGACGCTGTTTATATTTATATAGGAAGTTATCGTTCGAGTAGTATGTATAAAGCAAATGCAGACAATGTTACAGGGTAGTTTGTCTCACAAGATACGTTATCTCGGTTAAAAAAAATATAATTAGTTTCTGTAGCGTTCGATGTAGTGCCAATGAGATGCCTTCATTCTTTACCCACCTTCGTCTAGATCCTGGATTTCTGGGTATCTCCTTAAATTTCTTTATTGATTTTTAGATAAATCCATTGTAAAACACGTTCTTTCAATCGTGGCTCAATACTACATACTTACATAAGGAGTTTCATTCCACAGGCTTCGTTCCACACGCCAATATCAGTTACAATATTATAAAAAAAATTAAATCATTTTTTCTTACTTTTTATGTTAAAGCTTCAATATACTGGTCTTAATTTAATTTTAGTTTAAATGTATGAAATGTAATTTTTAATTCAATTTGGAATGTCAACCACGGTTAAATAGCTGTATTAATTTGAATGAAATTTAGCACACTAAGTTATTAATAATAACATGAAGAATACTATTGCTCATACAGTCTCGTGGTATAATTTGTCTAAGTTCATGCTAACACCCGTTATCCTTCTTTTTACGTTATGTTAAAATTTGATACAAATAATAGGTTTTTTACAATAATTAAACAGAGGAAACACACACACACACACACATATATATATATCTATATATATATATATATATATATATATATATATATATGTGCTCGTATTTCTAAATCTGAAATCCAGCTAGAATTCACAAGTGAAGTTTAATAAAAAAAAAATATCGTAGGAGATATTTTTTATTCTAAATCTATTCTTTTCCGGGGATATTTCTTCAATCTTAGAAATAGCTGGATTGCGAATTTATCTCATGTTATACCTACTTGTAGTAAAAAAAATTTGTAAAGGGTATAAATAAATAGCTACGCAAAACTAAATATTGATAAAAAGAGAATAAATCACAAGCCACGATGATTCGTTTTGTACAGATTTAATTCGACAGACTGTTAAATACTTATTACTGCATTTACATTTATTTATTGGCCATTGTTGTTTATTAAATTCGGTACTGTTTGCACATAGACATAAAACGACATACGTCGGAGATTGGATGTGTCGAGTTGAGAACTGCAATTACTTAATATCCATTAAAATGTTCCACTCTTACGTATATACAGAACTTTAGCACTAAAACCGTCGCATAGTTATTATCTGATCTACGCCCCAATATAAAAAAATAATTTAAGTTTTCTAAATAAAATATGAGTGGATAGTATGACGTCCATCTCAAAGACACAAGGTCACGCCAAATCTAGTTCACTTAAAGTAAAGCTACTAGTAATATTGCACGAGCTATATTCGAACTGGCGACATTAAAGCAATTAGAGAATATATATATCCAAGTGGCTGTCGCGCTGACAAGTGTTCGCACATTCCGATATTATAGCTCGTTTTACAAAATATCAGTTGGTAATAATAAGCGCAATAGACCATGTGTGCACGGGAGCAATCAATTCCTAATTCGACTTAATGGTGCACCAGTAATTAATTCTAAATGGATAAGTAAATTCACATTTAATGCGCTGCCGTTATCCTATGACTTGGATATTACGATTAACAAGGAAGGCTACTACATCGTCCACCGAGGCCTCATTAGGACATCCTAAATGGCCCGAAAGAAAAGTTACTTTGTCTTGACTAAAGTATTTTATTTTTTATACCTCCCGTTGTCATTACATTAGTTTATTTTTTTTTTTTATATAAAATAAAAACCTGATTACAAGCTGCTAAATATAAAAACTTGACCAACAATAACGATTATGCGATTTAGACGAAAAAAAAAAATTGTACAGACAACAAACAGTTATCTATAATATAACCAGCCTAATTTTTTAGTCTACAACCTGTGATGTAAGAATTTTGAATGCATAAAAAAATATCTCTCCTATAGGGCCTTACCTTACATTCTTAAATTAATTTTCGTATATCATATCGTCTTTGACAATTTGATGTTAAAAAATGATAGTCCAACTGACATACAAGTGAATGATACTAGCCCCTTGCTGGCAACACTTGCTGTTACAATGCCAACGACAAACATTATACACACAACTATGGAATATAGGCAATTTTAAGCCACTCGATTTAGTGTAACATTTCATGTGTTCAAATATCAAATTAAAGAGAGCAAGGAAAGGCCGGAAAAAGCCAAGTATTGTTTTTACACGTACTTTATAAAAATCAACTATTTCTTCTACAAAATGCATTGTCAGTCTTCACTGAAGATATTTTCAAATGACAGTCCATTCAGTCTTCATTAATTTTGCACATAATGATAAGTATACCATCAGACAGTGATAGTCGAAGTGGTTAGTACCCTGAGTGAAGTTGAAATAAAAGCACGTCAAGGGCGACCAAAATATACATACTAAGGACACGTCAAAGGATTCCTAACAAAATTTTTGGTAAATTAATAGTAATTACCAATTTTCCTTGAGGACTATGCAGTTCGTGGTTTTTTTCTGTCATAAGGTCATAAAATAGGTTGTATAACTGAATTGAACTATAATTACAGCAAAATAAAACATATAACAAATGAATTGATACACTAAGGCAGCATTGCCGATATGTTAACTTCAATAAAACAATATTTAATCTCATGCGTTGAGTCATTAGGACTGACGTTAGAGAAACAGAGTAATATGCAAATTAGAAAAGTAAAATTATATATTACTACTATTTTGTAGGTATTTATTTATTTCACAAAGGAGTCTAATAAGTACGTTTTGTAGTGGTATCAACCACTTATTATATTTAAGCACCACCAGGTAAGTACGAAAAAGTAAACGACAAATTTACATTCACGTGACTTCTTGCTAGGGGCTTGTTCTTTTTTCCGTATAAAAATTCAAACAGGAGTAATGTAATTCTTTTTATTTCAACTTCGGGCTCTGGGCAAAGAACATGTCTATTTGAACAGATGGCAAGTGTTACACAAAGGGATATAATGCCTAAGCGGGCGCGGCGAGCGTTCCCGCTCGCGGCAGCACAGGAGCGCGTCAAATAAATGACAGTGCCCCAAAGAGGACTAATCAATCACACACCACATTCAAGAATTTTCTTTATTTCTATTTTTTTTTTGTTTGTTTTCTTGATTTTTATATGTATCAATTAATTTAGCATTAAAATATGGTAATAACTTCAAGTTTGCGTCCATCTTTTCGTCAGATTACAAACCACTATAAAACATTTATTATCCAACTACACCACACGGAGTTTATACCGATATCTATCAACAATGTTCGGCGACTCGCGGAGCGCAACGTAACGTTGACGTTGTGTAGACGTTAAGCGAAAAGAGAACAAACAAAACAAAACAAACGTGAAGTTTCCGCGCGGCACTCTTACACTCTCGTCCCGGCGCTGCAGCGTTGCCGGACGCTGGACACCGGCCACCGGCCACGGACGCTTGACCGTCCCGCACCCGAGATTAAGAGGGCCAGTGCACCTCGCATTCCGTACTCGTACCAGCGATACTACGACCGTTTGCTGTGGATCGTATTACCACTTAGAGGTGGTATTGCAAGTCACTGGCGCTCTTTAACATGGATTCGTATTACACTTAATATAAATAAATTAATATGCGTGACATTATATTCGCTTTCGGGTTAACATTTCATAGGTTACAATATTTCATTTATGTGCAATAATCGTACAGTCGGGGTAACAATGCCGGCCGGCCAGCGGGTCTTGTACTAAGAATCTATCAGGTCCTCTCATTTGTGACAGAGCGAGAGGGCCGGTAAGATTTTTAGTATAAGAACTAGGGACTTGGTAGTTAGTGACCACGCCCCTAGATATGGCATTCTTACAACAATACCGTATTGTCTTCACGATTGCCGTGATTATTGCTAATATAATATGGGAAACAGCTAACGTTCAGAGAGTTAATCGCGAGCTCCGCGCCAAACCACAATATTTTACGTTAAATTATACATAATATTATGTTTTACATTTATGTAAGAGTTTTGATTGTAAAAAAATTATACGCTTGTTACTCCCTATAAATGCTGAGTTGGTTTATTTGTCGAGAGCCGTGTTTGCCTTAACCGCGATTACACACTCCTCGCCGCAAGATTTCAGCACGGTGCACTGTAACAAAGAAAATTTTATGTTAATATAATTGAACAATTAATAACTGCAATTTATTTATTAAACTTTAACACACCTAGACAGTGTAAAAGGCGGACTTAATTAACACTATATGGCGTCATCTACCAGTCAATATAAGCAATAAACATAAAAAGAAGATATAAAATTTAATAGAGGAAAACAATCGGGTAAGTATACAATGTACTAATCACTAGCAGTAGCTATATTCAGATTCTTTCCAAAAAGTAAAAGGTACTTTTACTGAAATTAAATTAAACCTTACTTTAAATAGTACATTTTTCCTAAAAAAAAAAAAAAAAAAAACACTTAAAATACGACAACAAACAATATTTTCAACCAACTTCAAAAAGGAGGCTACCAAGCTGGTTATATTTTTTTTTAATGTTTGTTACCTTATAACTCCAGTTGTTGTGAACTGAATTGGAAAAGTGATTTTTTTTTTTCTAAAGAAAGAGATTGGTCCCATAGACATTTGATTCTAGTTTTTAAATCAAAATAAATAATGTTGCCGCAACTGAAGTTTTTTTGTGGAACACAATTTTATTTTAATCTAGTATATATGATAGACCATATGTGTAAAAAAATTTATACAAAAGTCGATTGCTTGGGTACCTCTGTCCCATTCGTGTTTCAACCGTGAAGCAGTTGTGTATGGCTGTGTTTCGGTTTGAAGGGTGGGATATGGCGTGAATTTACAGGGTATAGAGGAATAACACCTGAGTCCTCAGGAATGGCAACGCATGGGGGTATCATGAGCGAAACAGTATACTCTGTTATGTCCATGGTACTGCTCATGTCTATAGGCGACAGTTACCACTTTAGTGACCGTTACAAAAAAAAGAAATTTAAATCTTTCAGCCATTGCATGTTTGAGTAATAAATAAACATTTTTAGAAACTCACACATTTATAACATTAGTAGAAATATTAAATTTGCCGCAATACGACATTTTCATGCGTACAATAATACACAAATAAGCAAGGATAAATTTACTTAATCGAAGACCGACGTGGACTCGCTTTTTTACTCTGCATTTTTTGTTGGATTCCGTCCAGTTATGATTAGTTGACGTCGGTTTTTACCTTGTAATGTTTATAAGGCAAATATTTTCATTTCTAAATGCCCCTTGAAGCTACCATACCTTATCATACATTTTAGCTGTTAAATGCTTGTTGCCATGCTTGGCAGGAGGGTTAGCAACCGCGGTTAGGGTTCGGAGGCGTTTTAAGAGGAACGTTTCTGCCCATTCGAATCAACCATTAAATTCCTTTAGTCGCCTCTTACTACACCCAAGGGAAAGGAAGGGGTGGCCCATTCTATGTTAGGACCACACGGTCAAGCTTTTGAAGCTAAATTTACACTTTAATGCCGGTCATGGTTCGATATCGATTTGGTAAAGAATAATTACGTAAGAAACAATACGGGTCGATTCTAAGACGCAGTTTCTCTTAACCTATTTACCTTAACCTTAAAATTCCAATTTGATGTCACAGCAAACTCTTTATTGTAAAGACCAATATGAACTAATTTTGTAATAGATTTAAGTAAAGATTATTATGATTTTAGTTTATGATTATGATTTATGGGCCATAAAACAGTCATTTAGCGAAATTACCAAATTAAAATATTAGGTTAAGAGAAAATTTTTGAGAAATGGCGCGCACACAATTTAATTATAACTTGCCAGAACTGGAACCAGCACTATAGTGTGAATCTGGCTTAATAATGTCAATGTTACACTATAGTTTTTATTCAACTGCCAAAGAAATGAGAGAAATAGACACGTTATCTATAAAGTCAATGTCCCGATAAAGTTATGTATCTGTTATCAGTTTATCACAAAAGATATGAAAGAAAAAATGTCACATTTATAAGAAAACAAGATAGACCTGTGAGTTATCATGCATTCGAGTTAGTGTTAGTTGTAATTGAAAATCCTTTTACGCCGGAAATATTTGAAGAATTTCTTGTGTGTGTACACAAACTTTCCTCGTTTATAGATTTGTTAAAATTTAGAAGTCGAAATTCTTTTTTAAATTTTAGTTTATCTGTTCCAAAATCACGTTAAAAATTACTATGAGTACATTTAATTGGAGGCTACGTCCACATTTGTGTTGCTGAAGGTCCAACTTAAAATCTGGTGTACGTTTTCTCATTATTTTTGTAACAATTTATACTATCTGGAAGTTGTCTGTTTATATTTCCAAAATGTATTCCTAAGAATTGCTAGCAAAATATAGTAAAAAATAAAACTAGTTTATTGAAATCATTGGCTTGTTTTTAGTAAGACTAAATATTTTTCCTAAAGAACATGAGTTGAAAAACGACAAACAATTTTGAGAAATATTAGATAATTTTAATGGTTTTATGTACTGTAACTACGATATTATGTTACTTTGTATTAAACGTTTAATAACGGAGGCAGTTGACGATTGTTTATGGCATAATTGAGTCCGCCAGGATGTATTGATTTGAAGTGAGAGGCATTCGTCATAGGAAATCGATTCGTGTAAAATTCTTATTATGCTGTCATATATATAACACATTAAAAAAGGTTTTTATACATGCAATCAATTTAAGTCCGTGTGGTCCCAGCATTGAATAGGCTACCCCTTTCTTTCCTGTGAATGTAGTAAAAGGCGACTAAAGGAACTTAATGGAGGAGTGATGGAAAGCAGCGTCCTTCTTAAAACATCTCTAAAAGCCTAACTGTGGCTGCCAACTCTTTCTTTTTTTTTACAACACAGGGGGCAAACGAGCATGCGGCTCATCTGATGGTAAGTGACTACCGCCGCCTACTCGCCTGCCAAGCACGGCAACTACTGGCAAAACTCCCTTTATGGGGAAGGCTTATGTTCAGCAGTGGACAGTTAACGTTTTATATGAATTAATTTAAAAAGCTAGTGACATATTTGTAAAACAGTTTATAGTAATACATAACCTAGTGATAATCTAATAATATTTAATTTTTATTCTTTATTCAGTCTAAAATGTCATTCAATCCTATATTATATTAATTGCAGATATGTGAGTAAAATACTTTTTATAGATAGAATACAGTCTAGTAAATTATAAAAGTGAATCTCGTCTTAGGTGTATGACCAAAGTGGTTATTTTAGACTATTAATTGGTTTCTTGTTTTTTTTTTTTTATTTTAGAACATTTTCAAATGTTTATGAATGTACTCAAAACCCATGGTTCCATACGGCTGATGATGGCAAGAGCCCAGGTTGAAGGACGAGAAAATAATCTACGAGTGAATTTAGCACCAACACACTAAGGTAACGTGTCGGAGACTCTATACTCGAAAGTAGAAATTGTTATGTCTTTTCCGGATAAGATAACGGTAATAGCCACCATCTCTTATCTGCGCCTGCTCTATGGTAATAATGCGTTATTGTATTATGAAGGGTAAAATGGCACTTTGTAAGCTCGACAACGAAAAATCACAATGTTTTTTTTTTTTTTTTTACAACACAGGGGGCAAACGAGCATGCGGCTCACCTGGTGGTAAGTGACTATTGGTTTATTAGGTCAGTGGTATTACTATAACTAAGTGGTATTGTAGCGATTCAATATCGTTGTGACCGGTATTCTTATACTTGAAAGGAATCCAGTCATTTAAACATTTTTTTTATACAACTTAGAATGGCAAACAAGCTGACGGCCCACCTGATGGAAAGTGGTAACTGTCGCCTATAGATATGAGCAGTACCATAGACATAACAGAGTATACTGTTTTGCCCATGATACCCCCCGTGCGTTGCCATTCCTGAGGACTCGGATGTTATTCCTCTGTACTCAGTAAATTCACGCCATATCCCACCCTTCAAACCGAAACAGTCATGCAAACACAACTGCTTCACGGTTGAAACACAATGCCATTGTACCATTTTCTTAAAATATATTAATTTTTATTACTTAATTTTATTTACATAATTAAAATTTGTTTATCCACCTTTAATAAGCCACTACAAACTTAGGACAAGAAGTCTATAGAATGTCTACTTAACTTATAGATTAGCGATTACTAAGGTGGGTTCCGTAAATCATCAGGGTTCCGCATAATTATTTATACAGTGAAACAATTTCATTCTTCACATTAAAAATTAAAGGAAACTATAAAGTGTTATACTTTTAAAATATTTCTAATAAAAGCTTTTGTTCTTATTTAAATTACATTGTTTTTAATTTGTAATAGTTTGATATGGGATTCCATAATATAAAAGGTATTTGGTGGGTGTTCCATTATATTAAAAGTTTAGGAGACCCTGTTCTAGATATTAAATATTGAACAGTTTGTTTTATAAGAATCGAGCTCATGGGTTTTTCTAAGGGGGCACTGGTGGGACAGAAGCAAAACTTCCATCTATGAGCAATAACATGTCTAAAAGTACATACATGCCTGTGATCGAGGTATACAGCGCCAGAATTTTAGTGCAAGATTAAACTATAAACTCACCAACAACTCCTTGCCGCTGTCGAAGTCGGAGCGCAGCTGGGTGCCAAGGTCGCCGTCTGGTATCTTCAAGTCCTCACGCAAATCACCATTGTCAGCCATGAGAGTGAGGTAGCCGTCGTCAGATATGTCAGTGAGCTGGTAGTCCTCGCGTTTCACGTGGGGCACGTCCATGTTGTGAGTGGATGGGCAGATATCTTCATATCTGGAGAACAAGGCGATTTTATATTAAACCAGCTGACCTAATAAACATTTATTCTTAACATGTATAATGTTATTTTAATTTAAAAACTAGTGAACACTTGTGGAAGAAGCGAAAGAGATTTGTTTGAATCGAAGCATTTGGCATTCCATTGTTTCTGCCTACCCTAATGAGAGACAGGCGTGACAGATATGTATGTATGTATGAACATATTTTGAAAAAAATCTATGAAACCAAACTGTTAGAATCTGTTCAGATAAAAAAAAAAATTCAATTTCAAATAAAAAAAAATATATAACTGAGTTAAGAACCCTCCTTATTTTTTAAGTCAGTTGAAAATTAATTCATTAAGGGCAGACATGATATATAGAGGGCAGGACATTTTGATATTTATTAATACTCCATTAGTATCCTACTGTTGGACACAAGTTTTTCCCCATAAAGAGGATAGAGGCTACTATGATCATGCTAGCCAGGTCATATGGTATAATTTTGAGTTAATAAGGGTCGAGTATCACAGGAAATAGTACAGAGTCACGGTGGTCACCATTTAAGAACTTTCCAATCAACTATTGGTTTTTCAAGTAACGAAGTAGTAGATATACTAATGTTCAGAATCTAATTTAACTTGTGCCCTTGTACGGTGATCCCAAAACACAGTCGTGTAATGAGACGCATAGTCAGGCCTAGTTCAATTTTCGAGTACCCTCAGCACGGCAACAGTATGAAAACTGCAGTCGCGACTCTATGGGCTCGTAAAATAGTTATCATCCTACAAGATACAGATAAGTAATCACAGAACTGTTTTATCGACATTAACTTAAAAGGTTTTTCGTGAAATTCGAAATCCGAACAGGTATTTCGGCGAATTCTACATTTGAATTAGTAACAATAAAAATAAGAATCCTAAAGTATCATTGTATTAATTTGAAATAATGAGTCTATAATTAAAGACTATTTCATAGAATGGAATCAAACAGTTTAAATTTGAATACTGATAAAATTTTTGCGATGGATGGTAGAGTTACAATATTTTTTGATTAAAATAAAAAAATAATAATATAAGTGTACTTGTAAGTAATAATAAAATGAATTTAAAATCCTAAAAATAATTGCTATTAATATACCTATTTGCTTAAATTGATATTGCGTAATAGATAAATAATCATACTCACTTCTTGCCATTGAAAATATCAATTCCGACCAAGTGTACTTTAGCGTGGCCGTGTTTCCCAGTCTTTGAGGTGGACATCTCGACAATCTTGCACGGGCGACCCTTCAGCATGACGAAACCGTTCTTACGCAGGGCGGAGCACTGCATGGGGAAGGTGGCCGAAGCACCGGAGTCCCCGGTCTCGAAGTGTGTGTCTTCAATGTCACCCATTTTGTTATGTGCCGAGTGTAATTACGGTCAGGAGTGATCTGTTGATTTTAGATATTGGATTTGTTAGTTCTTCAATTGTTAAAAATGTTACCTAATAATTTAGGCGAGGGGATTATTAGTGGCGGGAACTGGAGGTCTCATTGCTGGTAATATAACTTGTAAACGCGACCATGGATGAACACCATTGTCGTTCTGAATTCATCATCACCTTATTATGCCTGACTGGTATCCAGCCATCGTAATCTTCGCACGCGGGGTTAACATTTCATTATCATCCATAAAGAAAAAACAACATTTTATCTGAAATAAAGATATTCTTTTGTAAACTAAAAATAATACGTCCGTTAAACTGGTCGTTAATCTGATATTGAAGTTTAATTATAAAAATTAACTTTAAACCTTCAATTTACAAAGATGACTCATATATAGAAGAGATGACAAGACTTTCGAAACCACATTGTAAAATGGACTAAAAGACGCAATATTTCTACGACACGATTTGATATCGAAACCTTCCAAAAAACAGTAAGCACCAATAGGTATTTCTTCCTAAAAAGCCAAGTCCTTCATCCAATTTCTTCAATATTGCGGCCTATTACTCACTACTTACATAAAAAAAAAAAAAATACACTCTAAAAGGTATAAAAAAGAGAAGTCTTTATGTGTCCGTTAATTTTTGAATTTGGAAACAAAATCTATTTAGGCAAGTAGTTAGAAATACCAGTAGGTATACTTACACAGGATCAATAGTCAACATTAATATTCGAGAAACTAAACAACTTCATACGCAAAGTAATATGGGTTGAAATATAGAATTAATGAACCTTTTTTTATTTATGGAGCACGTGATCATTCACATTCTACGAAAGGTTAGAAAACGATATTTACTACACACAGAAAGTATTATAGTTAATAAAAAAAAAAAAAAAAATGCTGTTATAAAATAGAAGTAAAACAAAGAAAATTAATATGAAACTAAATAATGTCTAAAATAAACAGAGGAACATTATGAATGGACAGAAGACCTTCTAAGTGTCTAACCAAATTATTGGCATTAACTGTTCACAAAAATGTATAGTGGGTAAAAAATTAGCACATAGGTTATTGACATGAGGTCAATGACCTATGAACGACTGAAAGTGTTTACGTGCTGTAAACTGCCATACGATTTGATTTATAGTGATTAATTACTCACAGACACAATGTAACGGGCATTTGAATCTGCACTTACAAAATGAAACAAAATATGAAATCAAAAACATTCCAATACTAGAAAAATGCTTGGGTGATTTCATTCACAGAATTCAAGTTTGAACCCAATTGTGTCTCTAAAATACATTTAATTAAATAAATAATTATGTGACTATAGTTAAAATGGCTATACTTATTCAATATGACTTAACAATACTACAAAATTAAGAATAGAGAGGTGTTATCATTAAATTTATTTTAATGTTTTATAATCTTATATGTGGGCAATAAAAAAAATTATTATTCAAGTATGTAGATCAGCTGATTGTTTAGGTCTAGATTATAATTAATCCTGGATTCTGTACTTATTTCTCCACAGCAGAAGCATACACAAAGTACTTTACCTAGCTTAATTTGCTTGGCAACACATTATAAATTCATAATTATCAAAACCAACATTATAAACAGGAAAGATTTGACTGCTTTCTTTGACTACTAAAAAGAAAAAATACCTAAACCATTTTATTATTTCGCCTATAGAAAACTATATCATTAGTCTATATTTAAAAAAGGAACCAGGCGAAGTCAGGGCAGGTCACTAGCTAGCATACAATGACAGCTAGCTAGCTAGTTATTGTAAATAGTTGTAGTTAATGGAAGTAAACATAATAATCATGTTATTACAAAGTATTTTTAACATGACAACAGCCAGTATCTTTAGATCAGTGTTTATAAAAGCTACAGAAAAAAAATACCTACAGTTATAAGTTAATAACATGTAGAAATTACAAAGACAATTAAGCTGTTGATTATTTTATCAGTAAGCAGATTCATTTTGTAATTTGCCTTATCTAATCAAATTTTAGGTGTCATTAAAATTTTTGAAAAGCCTGAAAGACAATACTTTCGATCAACACTTCTAGTAATTTTTTTTAGTATGCTAGACAAACACCTTATTTTTGTATCATGTCTCTATTTAAAGGTTGTTTGGACCATGCCCTTCCTGCATGAAAGCTGGATCCTGCATGAATGATGGAAAAATCTTGGATCCGCCTATACTACAGTCTATCGCAACATCAGTAATTAAAACATAAGGAGTATGATCTATTTATCTGAGTGTATTCTAGTTATATATCCGGCAAACTCCCACTTCAGTTTAGCTGCCATCCTTTTTTTAAAAACTAACAATATCTTGTGGCTTTACTCGGATGAACTTTCTAAATTAACCCATATGTTAATCTTCAATATGGTCCATGTAATTCAAATTCATTCAGCTATTTAAGATTTAGTAAAAAAGATAATCCTATCATTAATATTGTATGAGGTCAATTAACAGCTTAACAAAAAAAAAAAATTATGTAATAAATCATAAGATAGCAGATGTCACAAAAAATTAAATCACAAATTTGCATCACAATAATACTTATTCATAAGTTATATTGTAATGCAAATTGTAATAATATATATTATATAAATGTATTAAATCATTGTAATTTATTTAAGTTAACCCAACTTAGATTACATCAGGAACCAAATGTTGACCATTGAGCTAAAATCGTCACTACAATCAAATTATATTGGGAAAATTTAAACATTATAAATAATTATGAAGAAAATATTGAAGTGTAATTATACATAGGAATTGATTGTTTGCAAATCCTTTGTTTCTATAAAACTACTTATTTGTGACATTTATCATTCATAATTTTTTGTTTAGCTCGCATTCATTCATAAATAGTATATGATGTCATTTTTACTTTTCCTTCCCTTGATATATATATATATTGGTACTTGCTAATAGGTACTAATTTCCATATATCTATTTTACATGTATCTACATCATGCAGATAAAAAGAAATGACAGTGTATTATATTATGTTAAAACCATAGGAAGTAACTGTATATAGTAAAATTATATAAAATCAAAATTGAATAAATTCACAATTAAAGTAGATCAGATAATGAGACAAACAGAATACTTTGAGCATAAAATAGTATAAAAATTGCAAAATTTAAATAAAAAACAAGTTAATTTGTATACTCTTTAAAATGAAGTTATTTTTTAATTTTTACTTCAAATATAGTCTTATTATAACCTTCAAATGCATGAGTAACATATGAGAAGACCTGAAAAATAATACCATATGGCTATATAACCTTTTTATATTATTATATGAAAATATGAAATGTATAGCTAATTATCATAAATTTATAACCTAACTTACTAAGGCACTTATAATAGTTAATTTACCTATGACATGTCAACATGTGGTCTTTCTAAAATTTTTAAATGTATAATAGTAACTTTCTATTTTATCTGGGTCAATAAATGATTGCATTTTAAAATAACACTTACTTGATATCACTTAGGTAATGGGGTACTCTCAAATGGGCAAAGGAAAAGAAAAAAAATATTTGAAGAACATTACCACATAACCTAAAGAAGACAATGACCATTGAACACAGAATGGGAATTTATTAAAAGAAAGCATGGGCTCACTTACATTTAAGTATGAAGTTATAGAAAAAGTGTAGTGACATTAGTCATCAGCAAATATGTTAAGTCATACTCACATGTAAATATTACACTCATTTTTTCAGAAAACGGCGCTGTGGCCAGCGAGTATTTTTAACTATGCATATGTTTTAGAATTTTTTTCACAACCTAACCCCACCTACCTACGGAAATTCTGACAACCCTTTGTATGATAATACACGTTACTACAAAGAGGACTATATACACCTTATGCAGATAACTTGCAGAGCAAGGTAAATGACAATAATCACAGATCAAATTTAACACGAGGTGGCAATGAGCACACTGCAACCGTGTGGTAGCCAGACATGTGGCTTTGATGAGAGGGACATCTTGAACATGTCTTCGAAAAAAGCACTATGAAGATATTCAATCACACGACATTTTTTTATGTACTCAACTATATAAACAATAAAAATTGCATTGGAAAAGTGTAAACTTGGTTTGATCGTATTAATTTGGGGAGCTATCGTTAAAAAATAGCAATTTGTCAAACGTGCCGGCGCCGCGGAACAAAATTTTGCATTATTTACACAATATCCACACTACGGTATCGCCATATTTTCACATAAAAATATTCACCATTGAAAATACTTACAAAAAAGATAATAATAACTGTCTAAAAGGGTTTCACTTTAAAAGTAAGATATTTATCGACACTCACATGTGACCGACGGGTTCTTCAACCGAAAGGTCAATTTACGCCTGCGTAGCACCTACAACACTCACTTCCTGTGGCGGGGTTCGCAAAATGATAGAAACGCCGCCGACGAAGGGCGGTAATTATGAATAAAGAATAATATTTTACTCTTTTAAATATAAATATTTAGATAATAAACTCCAATAGTATTTTTATTAAAAGAAACAATATTTTCATATATTATATTGCGTGAAATATTAATATTAAATTTATTAAAAAGTCAAAGATTGCTGGAACCAGACTGTTTTATCGGCAAGAACAGATGTAATTAATATGACAATAGATGGCACCACAAGAAGCAAAATTTGTGACGCTACCACAGATAAAATTTAGCATAATTCGAAAGTTATTTTTTTAAATATTTAGGTCTTTTTTAAATTTGTTTGTGGTTTAAAAGACATGCATATTTTTTTTTTTTTTTTTTTTTCTTCTTTTGTGGCGTTCACCCCGATATTAGGGTATTTTGCCAAGAACAAAACGGGGAAACGATAATAGTAATAAAAATACCTAACACAAACGAATTTAGAAAGGATAAGGATTAGGTCTAGGATATTTATAGGATATGAAGGATATACTTGTACATATGAGAATATATTTATAAATATATAGGAAAAGCAATTGATGCAACTATAAATGTATTCGTGTAATATAACTAAATCTTAATATTGTTATCATATATATATGAAGATAGTATTTTATAGATAATAGGATCATTGGAAGAAAGTAGAGTAAGAATAGAAGTTGGGAATGGAACACGGATGGATCGGAGATGATTAAAAAGGGAGGTGTGGTCAAATTTAGAACATGAGAAGAATATATGATTCAAGTCCGCCACTTCAGCACCGCAATTACACGACGAACTTTGTACAATACCAAGCTTGTATAAATGAGAAGGTGTGCATACGTGACCTAGACGCATACGAGTTATAATAGTTGTTGCGGTCTTTCCAAGCTTTAATTTACAAAACCATGGTTTGAAAGGAATATCGGGTTGTATAAGGCGATAAAATCTTCCTTTTATTGTACTTGTTTTTTCCCAATATTCCTTCCAGGCATACCTTAAATATATTTTTGGGAGACAAGCTAGGTCACTACAGTAATTATGATACGGATACATATCACCACAAGTTACAGCCTCTCTTGCAATAAGGTCAGCTTTGTCATTGCCGCTAATACCACTGTGTCCTGGTAACCAGGCAAAAGAAACGGAATACCCTCTCAACATGCAAAGATAAAGACTTTGTCTTATGTCACAAATAATGGGATAAACTGGTTTTGATTTAAACGGATATTTGGCTAGAGCTTGCAAAGAGCTCATAGAGTCAGTGAAAACTATTGCCTTATGTAATTTCATTAAAAGTATATATTCTACAGCTTTTAAAATACCATAGCATTCCCCGGTAAAAACTGAAGACTCCGGTGGAAGTTTAATTTTTTGAACGATATTAAATTGTGAATGAAACACACCCACACCTACACAACCGCTATTGTCTGGTTTTGATGCATCAGTAAAGATGTAGTGCCATTCATTCCATTCAATGTCAGTTATAAACATAAATTTGGCATTCAATTCTGAATCATTTTTTGATAACCCAAAATCATATTTAATATTAGGAGATAAAACTAAAGATTGATATGAGCATTTATAAATGGGAAAACAGGACGATGTAAAAGTGGGAGATTCTATGGATTTATATTTTTCATAACTTTGTATTAAACATGGAGGTTTTTTATGTTTCCAATAGGATGAAGACGAAATAAAGATATATAGTTGAGATAACTTTTGAATAAGCGGATGATTAGATAATTGTAAACAACGAAAAAAGAAGCGATCAGATAAATATTGCCTTCTTAAAACCAAAGGTGGATCACCGACTTCGAGCTGTAAAGCATTGATTGGACTTGATTTCATTGCTCCAGAGATAATCCTCAAGGCCTTTGATTGAATTAAATCCAATTTCTTAAAAGCAAATGAACTTCCTGGAGCTAACAAAAAAGTTCCATAATCAATGACACTCCTTATAAGACCATTATAAGCAAGTTTTAGTGAAACGGGATGTGCTCCCCACCAAACTCCAGCAAGGCACCTAAGAATGTTGAGGTTACGCTCACATTTCGTGGAAATATAATTACAGTGGGACAGACCTGTTAATTTATTATCTAGCACGATACCTAAAAATTTAATTTCAGTCTTTATAGGAATGTATGAGTTATCATAAAGCACCTTAATTTGTTGCGGTGATCTCATTCTTGAAAACAAAACTACACTACTCTTGGTTACAGAAAGATTAAGACCATTTGCATCTAACCACGTTTTTAACAAATCTAATGAATCAGATAATTTGGCAGAAGCAGATTCTATGGACTTCGCAATAAAATATAATAAGAGATCATCAGCATATTGTAAAATTTTGACGGATTTATCAAGGAATGATTCTAGATCGTATGTGTATATGTTGAATAAAATTGGACTGAGAACAGATCCTTGTGGAAGGCCTTTCCATACTGTTCTAGATAATTTGGTATCTTCATCTAGATCCATATGTATTGTTCTTTCTGATAAAATATTAATAATGAAATTAGAAAGCATTACCGGTACATTTAGAGCTTGTAATTTGGTTTTTAAAATAGAAATTATTACATTATCATAGGCAGAATTTATATCTAAAAAGGCTGAGAGGATTGACAAATTTTGTGAGAAAGCTATATGAATATCTGAAATAAGAATGCTCACATTATCTAAGGTGCTCTTACCTTTCCTAAAACCAAACTGGTTCGGGGATAGTAAGTTATTACTTTCTAAAAACCATTCTAGACGGTTCTTCACTAAATGTTCAGCTAGCTTTAGTAAGACAGAGGAAAGTGCAACAGGACGGTATGAAGATGGTTCAGAAGGTGGTTTATGAGGCTTTAGAAATGGTATAATAATCTGAGACTTCCATGAAGTAGGTATATTTCCCGAAATAATTATGGAATTAATTATATTTAAAAAGTAAATTAATGTCGCATCGCTAGCATTTTTAAAAAAGGAATACGGTATACCGTCTTCTCCCGGTGCAGAGTCTTTAATACAAGCTAGAACACCTTTAAGTTCTACAAGAGTAAAAGGAGACTCAAGTTCGGATAATTCGTCAGAGACGGATAGAGAAATATTGTAAAGGCATTCCGGCACATAACTAGGAGCAAGGCGATCTAAAAATTTATTCGCTAAAGTTAAATCGAGTGCAGAACGTGATGTATGATCACTAAAGGCAGATCTGAATCTTTTAATATTATTCCAAACGACTGATGAATTAACTTCTGGACAGATAGAAGAACAAAATCTTCTCCAACCTTCCAATTTCTTTTTTTTCAGTAGTTTTCGAGTAGAACGTGAAACTGCGGTGTAAATTTCAAAATTTTCTGATGTCATGTAATTATTATAATTTTTTTCAGCCTCTTTACGATTTTTAATTGCTTCCGTACAATCTTTGTCCCACCAAGGTGGGGAGGGAATTTTCCCTGAAGCACTATTTTTAACAGGAAATAATAAATCAGCAACCTCCTTCATATTAATTATCAAGTCATTACAACATTGATGTTCATTTCCATGATAAACAATAGGTAACTCCGATATTTTATTATCTAAATATTGTTTGTAAATATTCCAGTCTACATTTGATAAATTATATTTAAGTCGAGGACCACTCTTTCGACTTGAGGGAATGGAAATTGGAAAAGAAAGAATGAGGGGAAAGTGATCGCTTCCGAAGGTAGAGGAATGAGGATACCACGACAGTGAAGAAGCTAAATCAGAAGAACATATTGAAATATCAGGAGCACTAAACCCTTCATTCGGTGCAGTTCTACGTGTCGGTACATCTGAGTTAATAATACATAAGTTGTAAGTGTCAATTATCGTCAGGAGTTTTCCACCATAAAAATTAGAAGTAGAACTGCCCCACGATTGGTGCTGAGCATTAAAATCGCCCATTACGAGAAAAGGTTTAGGTAAAATTGAAAATAATTGTTCTAGTTGTGAATATATTTGGCATGTAGGATCAGGAATATATAAAGTAACAAAACAGATACCATTTATAATTATAGCAGCTGCATTAATGCCGCTATATACAGGAAGCGAAAAAGAAGAAAAAAGAAGGGAGTTTTTGACCAATATGGCAACACCGCCATATCCGTCAGCTCTATCATCACGGAGACTTGTAAAGCCTGAAATCCTAAAAGGATATCCTGGCTTTAACCAAGTCTCTTGTAGAGCTATTATAAAAGGATTATATTTATTAATCAAATAAAATAAGTCTGATTTCTTATTTGTTATGCTACGACAGTTCCACTGAATTATTTGGACTTTGTAATCCATTGTGAGAAGTTAATAATTGAGAAAATACATTGTACATGGCATCGTTGGACGGTGGTAAAGTTGTTTGTATCATTTTTGATTGCGATAACACTTTAATAAGCATGAGAATAATATTAATGATGGATTGATTATTGTCAATATTATTTGATGATAATGCACAACCATTAGAGGGAGCAGGAATATTATATTCCTTAACTATGGCTTCATGGGCAGAACGATCATATCCTTGTTGTATTTTTTGAGGAGAGCGTGGTTTAAGTGTAACTGTTTTTTTATATGATGATTGTATATGTGGTAATGATGATTTCTCTTTAAGGAAAGAAGATTGAAAATGAGATTTATTGGAAGGAGATGATGATGTTAATACATCTGAATATAGTTTAGAAGTTGGAGGATGAAATTTTGATGCTTCAGCATAAGAAACACAACTATGGGCCATTGTTTCTTTAATGGCTTTCTGACGTGCATATTCAGGACATTTTTTACTAATTGCTGAATGAGAACCATTACACAAGATACAAGAAACATTTTCCTCATCTACTTCACATTTATCACCTGTATGATTTTGCCTGCATTTATAACACCGAGGATTTGAACGACACTGCATCTTGACATGTCCGAACCTACAGCAGTTATAGCATTGGATAGTAGGGTAAATGTACAAATCTACAGTTAATGATGTGTAAAACATAAATACTCTTTTTGGCAATATTTGTCCATCAAAAGTAATAACAATGGTTTCAGTATTAATAA